TTTTCTATGTATAGGATCATATCGTCTGCAAATAGGGAGAGTTTTACTTCCTCTTTGCCAATCCGTATGCCTTTAATTTCTTTATCATGCTGTATAGCTCTAGCTAAAACTTCCAGCACAATATTGAATAGGAGCAGTGATAAAGGTCATCCTTGTCTGGTTCCTGTTCGCAGGGGGAAGGCTTTCAGTTTCTCTCCATTGAGTGTGATGTAGGCTATTGGTTTTGAACATACGGTTTTGATTATGTTGAGGAATTTCCCTTCAATTCCTATTTTGTTGAGTGTTTTTATCAGGAATGGGTGTTGGATTTTGTCGAATGCCTTTTCTGCATTGATTGATATGATCATGTGGTTCTTCTCTTTTTTCTTATTTATGTGGTGGATGCCATTGATTGTTTTTCATTATTCCAGTTTTTAAAGTTTTTATTGTGAATTATGTGTTAGTTTACATGGGTGAACATTATCTTTACATTCATCCTATCATATTTTGTTTCATTGCAATGATCACAGTCGCCTGCATGCATCATCAAACAACCAAAGGATCATTATTCCATTTTATGGAGTCCTGGTGTGGCACTGTGGGTTTATGCACCTGACTGTAAGGTTGGTTTGAAACGCAAGATTGGCAGTTCAAGCTCACCAGCTGCTCCTCAGAAACCCTATACGGGGTCGCTGTGAGTTGGCATTGACTCGACGCCACTTAACAACAGCAACATTCAATTTTACATTGTTGGTGTTGTTGTTAAGTGCCATCGAGTCGGTTCCAACCCATAGTAATCCTGTATAGGGTTTCTGAGGAGAGGCTGGTGAGCTTGAACTACCGACCATTCAGTTTAAACTGACTTTGCAGTCCAGCGCATTAAACCACAGCGTCACACCAGGATTCCCAATTTTACATTTTTGTTGTTGTTGAGTGCCGTCAAGTTGATTCCGATCCATAGCAACCCTGTATAGGGTTTCCAAGAATAGCTGGTGAGCTTGAATTACCGACATTCAGTTTAAACTGACTTTGCAGTCCAGCGCATTAAACCACAGCGTCACACCAGGATTCCCAATTTTACATTTTTGTTGTTGTTGAGTGCCGTCAAGTTGATTCCGATCCATAGCAACCCTGTATAGGGTTTCCAAGGAGCAGCTTATGAGCTTGAACCAGAAACCTTGAAGTTCAAATGACTTTGCAGTCTGATGCATTAGCCCGTAGTGCCACACCAGGAGGATGCTAAATCTCAGAGAGGCTAAGTAGTATACACAAATCCAACATCTATTAAGTGGCAGAGCCAGAATTACAACTAGGCCCGAAAGTCCAGAGGTTTATTTCCGCTGTTCATTCTTTCTCAAAAGGTGAAATAAGCATATCCAGGTTTATTACCTACATTTTAAGGTCACACTTTCTAATTCACTTTCAAAATGTAACAGGGTACCTACCACCTGTAACAAAATCACCTGAGGAGCTTTCTGCAAATGCTAGTTAATGTCTCCCTTCTCCAAATGAAGGGGAAGTCAGACTATCTTGGGGTTAGACCCTGGGATCTGCAGTTTTAAAAGCGCCCCACATAGTTGGGGGACACTTTCGAGTTTGAGAACCACTGTTAGCAACTTACCACTTACTGTTCCATTCCAATGCAGTCTATTTGCAGATCTATGGTTCCTGGAAATTTCCTCAGTATGTCAGGAAAGTAAAATTTTAAAATAGTCTGTTCCTCCTCCCTCTTTCTCAGTTTTCTGTTGAACACAGTTCCGTTCTATGGAAGGAATTAAGGAACTGGAGCTAAGACATGGAAGTTATCGTAACAAGGATTCATGGAGGCATTATAAAACAAAGACACAGGTTAATATGAACATAAATGCTGAACAGAATTATACAGAGCTGGAAGAGGGGTAAGCAAAGGAAATGGCATTAACTAAATATTTACTGTGTTCCAGACACTGTTCCAGATACATTGCATCATTTAGACCTGTGGTTCAATCCCTTTTATTTATAAAGCAGTGTTGTTTTTATTAAGTGCTGTTGAGTTTATTCCGACTTATATAGTGACTTGTAGAATTTCAAACGAGTGGTTGGAGGGTTTGAACTTCCAACCTCTTGATTAGCAGTCCAGTGATTACCCTACAGCACCACACCAGGAGTACTATAAAGGGGTTGTTGTTAAGTGTCGTGGCGTTGGTTCTAACTCATCGCGACCCTGTATAGTGTTTCCTAAGTTTTAAATCTTCAAAGTGGCAGACAGCCTCATCTTTCTCCTGTGGAGTGGCTAGTGGACTTGAACTGTGGACCTGTTGTTTTCAGTCCAGTGCTTATCTAACTATTATTATCTCTATTTTAGAAATGACAGTCACTTATCTGAGGTGAATCATTCCTTTGTACAATAAATATCTCTTGAGCTTTTACTGAATGCAAGACATTAAGAATAAAACATTGAAAAGACAATCTAGAGACCTGGGTGTCAAAGGGCCCTAACTTACCCACCAAAACACCATTAAAGAAACTGGAAATGAGAAAGCAGGTTGGGATTGGCGGCTGCTGTAAGCAGTTTCTTCCTGGCTTGATCTGCTTGCTGCAGCCAAGGAGAGTAGAGCTTATGGTTGGCGGTCAGTGGTCCAGAGAGCCAGAGAGGATTTTCCGCAGTAGCTGCATGCCTAGTAGGCCAGTTCAGTTGATATCAGACCCTTTAGCAGTCATGGGAGTGCGGTGGGGGTAGGGAGAGAATGAGCAGACGAAGAGCCTGAGAGGAGTGTCTAGAAGCAGAATTTGAACGGAGGCTAAGGGAACCGCAAGATCTCATCAGAGTCTCTCAATAACCTTGGCAGGTAGAGAATTGTTTCCATTTTATAGATGAAGAAACGGAGGCTCAGAAAGGTTAAATGACTTACTCAGTAAATGTTGGAACCAGGAGGGAATAGAGCAGGTTTCAGCTACTCCCACTTTACAGCTCGTCTAAGGAAATCTTCACGGATGGGTAAAATGTTCAGCCAGTAGCGCTAAAGTGACTTACAAAATCGATACTGGAGGCTGGTTCTGATTCTTTCTACCAACGTTTGTTTAATTCTAAATTCAAATTACACAGAAAATAAAATTCTTGTCTCCTTAAAAGATTTTGCGGAAAAAATGTTCTCTGTAACAGCCTCCTTGGCTGTGTTTGTGTCTGAAGAAAGGACTTGTCTGACAGGAAGAATTAGAAATCTGGAGCTCATTTTGGCGTCCCAGCGGGAAGGTGGGTGGAGCGTCTCACAGTAAATTAGGAATTCAGAATGAAAACGTAGTTGAGTTTATTTGGGTTTTTAGTGACACCTCAGAATTATTGTACAGATGTGACAGAGACGGCTCAGAGTAATGATGACTGCTCCCCCTACGCCCCGTGAGAGCAGAGTGCTGAGAAGGGGAATCCTCTTTTGCGAGGGGAGCTTCCCTTTCCAACTTGGATCTGGAAGCCAGGAATAGGGAAGACGGGTAGCTTGGAGCCCTGAATTTTCTCTTGAGTTCTGGAGGCTGGCTGGAGGCAATTTGGGGTTGTGTCGGAGCTCAGGTTCTGGGCTCTGAGACCAGGATCGGGGGACTTTCTGAGCCTGGAATTTGGGGGCGGTTAGAGCAGGAGGAAACAGGAGACTGACTCGCCTATGAAGGACGCTGAGGAAGGATTTTGAGGAAGGAGATGTTGAAAGTTGAAGCACGAACGCAGGGGTCTGATGACACTGCGGATCTCGGTGAAATGTGTGGCGGAATGTGTGCAGGACTGTAGATGGGAGTCAGGATGGGTGGGAGGACAGTACTAGATCACTGGTATCTATCGGAAGCTAGAAGAAAAAGACTGTCGAGGGGACACAGCCTTTTTTTCGATAACGACTCACAGATAGACACACCCATCGCTCAGCCCTAGCCCTCTGGGCCAGAAGACACCAAAGGGAAGGGGCTAGGACTGGCGAGACCCAACCCCCACTCTGCCGCCTCTGAACCCGGAGTAGCGCGGGCTGCGGCCGGGATTTGGCCGCCCAGCCCCCGGGGAGTGCTGGAGGCGTGGCCAAAGGTTGGGAGCCTGCGGCACGGGATTGGCTGCCAGGCGGCCCCGCGGGCGGGGCTCCCGTTAGGGTTTCACAGGAAGGCTAGCAGACGGCCAGGAGGCGGGGCCGGCGGGAGCCCGGCAGCCAATGGACGCGCGGCCCCCGAGCAGTTACAAAGGGCCGGAGCGAGGCCGCTGCCGCCGCGGCGGCAGGGGAGGTGGGGCGAAGCAAGGCGAGGCTTGCAGAGGAGAGGCGGCGGCCGGGCCGGGCCGGGCCGGGCCACAGGCGGCGGCGGTGGGACCATGGAGGCAGCGTCTGCTGCTCCGCGTCCCCAGCTGTTCTTCCTCGTGCTGGCTGCGGCGGCGACGCTGGTTCCAGGGACGACGGGTGAGCGGCGGCGCGGCCGGGCTGGCAGGCGCGCGGACCGGGCCCGGCCTCTGGCTCGCTCCCTCTCTTTCTCAAACATGGCGCGGGGCCGGGGGCGCAGGTGGCGGCGCCCGGACTGGGGCCGGGGCTCGGCACGGGCTGGGGCTTCCTGGGCCAGCGCGGCCCGGCTGCCGCCACGGAACCACCAGCGGAACGTGCGTCCGAGCGCGGATGGACGGCCGGCAGTCCGAGGCCGCCCCCGCTTCAGACTCCTCGGGGAAGTGGCGTCGGGCAGAGCCGTCCGAGGTCAGGGGCTGCGCTCTGGGCTGCGAGTGGGTGAGGGCCCAGAACCGCGGGTGTGAGGCCGGCAGTGCCTAACAGAGCAGGGGCTTCCCCAAACTCAGCCTGGAGACTGCGGCGTTCACCCTGGGCTCCCCACACCAAGAGGGTTGGTGCCTGAGGTCCCTAGGGTGGGCTTGGGGTTCGCGGAAGCTTCTCGGGCGGAGTGTAAGCGCTGAGCCTCGAGGATTCCCTGAGCGGTGGGAGGGGGCGCCTGGCGCCCTGTGGCTGAGACCCCCCACCCCGGGGGCCGCAGGATGGCCTCTAGCTTCGGCCCTGGCCGGACCCTGCTGAGGGGGGGCGGGGGGTGGCTTTGAAAGTAGAGCTGCGAAGCTTTGTGTGGAAGAGGCACAGAGATACGCAGAATGTTTCTTCTTTCGTGCGTCTGGGGAGTGTTGAAGTGAATCCAGGAACCAGAAGGCTGCGGATTGTTTTCATAGTAGAAACTTGAACGTTTGCTCACTCTGCGGGGTTTGGAATGTTTGAATGGAAATTACTCTGTGAATTGATCAAACGCTTTTATATCCTCAAAAAAGAATGCTTGCCAACGATCTTTCTTTTCCTCTGACGGGAGCGTAAATCAGTCATCTGCGTAGCTGTGTTTCAAAGGAGAATGCTTAGTTATTTGGCTTTTCAAAACACTAAATCTGGATGGGGTAGGTGGTCGTCTACCCCGATGGAGGGAGTATCGAAAACTTCGTGTTAGCAACCCAATTACAATGCTGGAAGCTCAAATAGACTTAGTTTTAGTAATTAAAATACGGTAAAAAAGTACATTTGTGTTTCTGAAATTGGACCCCAGAAACAAAACAACAAAAGGACTGAAAACAAAACCTCAACCTAAGACTGAGGGTGCCAGTGATTATTAGCTTGTCAGTTAATTTTACAGTGATGTCGATGCATAAAGTACCCTAAAGTACACCCGCTAATCCACACAACAAAACCAGCAAGGCTAGTAGCATTTGCTCCCATTTTATAGATGAGAAGACTGAAGTGAGAGGTTAAGCACTCGTTTACTAAATGCTGTGGTTAGGGTTTGATTCCAGGGCTCTGTTTCCAAAGCCTATATATACACCTTGGTATGAAGTGCCGCTGAGTTGTTTCAACTCATAGCTACTTTGTGTAGGGTTTCTGAGGCGTGGCTGGTGAGTTTGAACCACTGGCTTTGTGTTCCAAACCCACGCGGAGATTGAGTGCTTGCCCTGCAGCATCACACAGGACTCCATGTACACACCAAACTGGCCTGCTTGGCCCATTTTTCCTTTTTAGTCATCTGATAGTTTTAGATTTTAGCCTCACAGTTGAAATGTTAGGTTTTCTCCTTTCTGACTTAAAGCACGTTCCTGAGTCCCTACACAGTAAAATTACAAGAGAAAACAATGGATTTTGCTCATATTGACCTAAGGAAGGAGAGGGAGATAATTGTATGGATGTTGTTGTTGTTTAGTGCCTTGAAGTCTATTCAGACCCATAGCGACCCTGTATAGTGTTTCCAAGGAGCAGCTGGTGAGCTTGAGCCAACGATCTTTGTAGTTCAAATGACTGCAGTCTGACACATTAGCCCACAGCGCCACACCAGGACTCCAAATTGTATGGATAGGTGGTAGAATCACCACCGTTATACATCAAATGTAAGTAACATTTCCACACCACTGTTGAATGCCACCAGTGGGTTCTAACTCATAGTAACTCTGTAGGATTTCCAAAGCTGTAAATATTTATGGAAGCAGAAAGCCTTATCTTTTTCCTAAGGAGTGGCTGGTGGGTTTGAACTGCAGACCTTGCGGTTAGCCCAGTGAGTAACCCAGTGTACCACCAGGGTACCCACCACACCACTATTAACTTGAAAGAGGAGTCCTGGTGGTGCGCTATAGGTTAAGCATTAGACTAACTGCTAACCTGAAAGTCCGTAATTCAAACCTACCAGCCACTCCTGGAGACAAAGATGAGACTGTCTGCTCCTGTAAAGATATGCAGTCTCAGAAATCCTGTCAGGGCCACTATCAGTAAGAATCTAATGATGCTAGTGGAGTTTATTCATGTGAAATAGAGCCCTGGCGACATGGTGGGTTAAGTATTGGGCTGCTAACCAAAAGGTAGGTGGTTAAACCCATCAGCCACTCCAGGGAGAGAGATGAGTCTGTCAGCTTCTGTAAAGATTGACAGTTTCACCTTGTCCTATGGGTCACTCTATGGCACTTAAAACCAAACAACATAAGGTCAGTATAAGTTGGAATCGACTCCACGGCAGTGTGATTAACTTGAACAATGTAATTCATTCCTTTCCACAGAATGTTGTTGTAAAGTGCTGATGAGTTATTTCCAACTCATAGTGACCCTATATAAGGTTTTGGAGTAGCTGCTGGTGAGTTTGAACCACCGACTTTGCGGTCCAGTGCGTTTCCTACAGGAGGAGCCATACCAGGAGTCCTCCACAGAATCTAGGGCACCAGATACTCATTGATTCAGGTAACAGTATTGGACTTAATTGGGTTAATCTAGCATCACTCAGTCCATGCCCTGAAGGGGATTTCTACCAAATACATTGGCATGCAGACAATAAAAAGATGAATTTAGATGCTCATTACTCCAAATCCAGATTACCTCAACTGACAGTCTACCTGCCCTGGTTGTTTCTATTAACATTTCAGTTCATCCTTTTCATACATGCTGAAGAAGTTAATGTTCCCCACCCCCCTACCCATTGCCTTTATAATTGGCTTCCTTATTCAAAATCTTATATATCAGCTGGGTGTTAGTTTTAGATGTCTCTGCATAATTTATGCTTGCTACAACATAGATTTTTCAAGGGAAATTGATTTTGTACCCCCTAGTGCAGAGTTTTGTACCACTGTGTTTGTATACATCTTTTGTGAGAATGTTGGTTCCTTTCTGCCATTTCATAACTTTTTTCCCTCTGAAAACCAAGCTTAAAACCTTTACATGTGGCAACTTCAGAAAGTTCATAGAAAAATTCTATTGTCTTTGAATTCCATTTTTCCATGAACTTTTTGAAGCCCCCTTGTGTTAATGTCTCTTGAATATGTCTCTTTGTTAGCATCAACTTTGTTCTGCTTGTTATACCTCAAATCTAGTTGCTTTCCATTGATTCCAGTCTCTCCTGTGGCCTGCTGCCAAATTTGTCTTCCCCAGTTTCTCCCAGAAAGGATTTTCATTTGTATTCAGTGCTTCTCTAGAGCATACACTAGAGGCCAATGATTAGGGCCATCTCTGAAGTATCAAGCTAGATAATCTCGTTTCTCACTGCTGCAAACCCTCATTTCCAGTGGTTTCTGTTTTCCCACTGACTCCTTCCTGACCAGTCTTCCCACTACATAATTAATTTTATCCACTTCTGGGGGTTGGAGGAGGAAAGTTCTCAGTTCTGATTTTGTATTGGGTTAGTTCAGGAGCTCTTTAATCTCTGGGCTGTATAGCAGTTAGTTACAGTGTGTTGTGTTCAGTTCTATCATCTTGCGTTACTGTCTAATGCTCTTGAATATATTATAGATATCAGAACTCAAGGATCTGGTATCTTCTTTTCTCTATACACTCAGAGCCCAGCACTGTGTTTTACATTCTGTCTCACTTAGATGCTTGTGAATGAAAGAATTCCATTTGACTGCATGTTCTTTTTGTATACTGTCATATGTAAGTACATTGTTCGAAGTATCAATTTCTAATTCTGTGTAATCAGGAAAATTTACGGTGTGGTGAAAGAAGCAGTGGTGTCGGAGTTGGCTATTAGATTTGGGTTTTAGTGTCATCCCTACCTCCAATGGTAGCGTAGTGGTTACGACTCGGGCTGTGAACCGCAAGGTCAGCAGTTCGAAACTACCAGCTGCTCCGCGGGAGAAAGATGAGGCTTTCTACTCCCGTAAAGATTTACACCCTCGGAAACCCTGTACAGGGTCGCTATGGGTCGGTTCCGACTCCACGGCACATAACAACAACAACTACCTCCAATTATTCAACAAATGGGTGTGATACCTACTTTGCCTAATTCATGAGATTGTGAAGATCAGATGAGAAGGTTGTATTTGCCTTTGAGGCAGCTCTTTTGTATTGTTAGTAATAGGTTCAACCAGCAGTGTCCTATGGCTTACATGTTTTGATTGGTTGGTACCCTTGCAGGGCTGATAGGTACATGTTTTTACTATCATCTATATCGACTCAGCAGCACTTAACAACAATAAGATTTACAGCCTTGGAAACCCTGTTTAGGGACGCTATGGGTCGGAACTGATTCGATGGCATATAACAACAACAATAGGATAAGCAAGGAGCTCTGGTAGCCTAATGGTTACAAGTTGGCCTGCTAACCTCAAGATCCCCAGTTCGAAACTGCCAGCAGTTATGCTGGAGAAAGATAAGACATTTTGCTCCCGTAAAGATTTACAGCCTTAGAAACCCTATGCAGGGTCACAATGAGTTGGAACCGACTTGGTGGCACACAACCACCATTATTCACTAATCACTGATAGGATAAGCACTGGACACAAAGTCGGTCTGAGCCTCAAAGTTGTTGGTTCAAATCCACCAGCTGCTCCTCTGGGTTGTTGTTTTGTTATTAAGTGCCCTCAAGTCATACAGCAGGTGTCGGGGACCATTTTTCTGCCAAGGGCCCTTTGGATATTTATAACATCATTCATGGGCCATACAAAAGTATCAACTTAAAAATT